CTTATTTTTAAAAAATCTGCTTTTAATTTTTATCTCGCTCTTTTTCCCCCATGGGATACCACTTTATATTCTGTTTGAAATAAGGCAAAATACAAATAAATTACATATTCCTCAATTGCATATGTTTTGTCATTTCTGAAATCAGAGTGCATCTCACAGTCAGTGCCCTTGGGAAATGGAGAATTCCAATGTCAAGTACACCTGGAATGGCAGCAGATACTTCCCTCATGCACAGCCTGCAGGAACCTGGAGGAGGCGCAGCCCTGGCACTGAGGGAAGAGAGATTGTGGTATAACTCATAGCAGTAGGCGAGGATTCCTCTGTTTTGAGATGAACTGAGACAGGGAGGGGGTCACGCTAATTTCTGCTTTTGAAGTAATTGACCTCAGTCAAGGTTAATGTAGCTACTGCTTTCGTTTGATTTGGGAGACCTCACGGAAGTAGTTTACGGAAACAGCTCCTTCTTTCGTCTCTTGCCTTATGCCCTAGAAGTTTTCAGCTGGCCACAGAAGTTGTGCCCTTTGGCACACTGGGGTGGAGACAGTTGTGAGGACAGCTGGACTTGGAGACGCCCTTGGGGATCAAAGCCCTGATCTGGGAAGCGGTGCCTTGACTGCCACCCTCACATGGCCAGGCAGGCTGGACAGGAGGTGGACTTGCTCTGGGCCCTGAAGGATTGAAAGAATATTTTTCAAAAGATTTCAATTATGGAACAAGGAGCAAAAATTCCTATTTTACAAAAGAGAAATCTGTAAAAGCACAAGGGTATCCGACTATGTCCCCTGCCTACCTGAGGAGTGCAGGCAGCTGCCAGCAACTTCAGGTCACTTGCAGACTCCACCCACTGAAATCTGGCACCTTGTCGTCTTTCTCCAGCCATGCACCAGTTTGGGATTGGCCACTCTGAAGCAACTCAGCAAGGCCAAGGGGGAAAGATATCCAAATCAGGGGTCAATTACTCCATGCGCTTTAGCCCAGTACTTTCACTTCTTGGCACTCACCCTGGGGAACATGGCAGAGCAAGGTGCTGGGATTTATGTACAAGTGTAGTCTATAAAACTTCAGCATGGAAAATAAGCTTGAAGTCTACCAAAAGAGGCATGGTTAAATAAATTGTGGTACACCCATTCAATGGAACACTGGGTAGTAATTGAAAATCATGGTTTTGAAGTATCTTTAATGGGAAAATACTCAAAATTCAGAGTGCTATTAAGGTTACAAGAAGCCCTGGTGGTGCAGTGCTTAAGTGCTCATTTGCTAACCTAAAAGTCAGTGGTTCAAACCCACCAGGAGCTCTGCAGAGGAAAGATGTGGCAGTCTGTTTCCATAAAGATTACAGCCTTGGAAATCCTATGAGGCAGTTTACTCTGTCCTATAGGGTCACTATGAGTCAGGATGGACTTGATAGCAATGGGTTTGGTTTTTGGTATTCAGGTTACAAAATAATCCATATGGTACAAAAATCCTTATTTTGTATTAGAATATATCATAGAACAATGACTTGGTGGAACTACAGAAAGTATTACTGTTTGCTATATTGGTGGAGGGACTCAGAGTGATTTAAAGTTTTCTTTTAGGCTGAATTGTCTTACCAAAGGTTAATACAATGAATATATACCACATTGTATTTGCAGTGAAGAAGTCGTTGGTCTTGCAAAATTCTACATGCGATCTCCAGCATCGTTTCTATCACCAAGGCCATATTTTACGACTACCAATCCTTCATCCTTGTTTCCAACTTTCGCATTCCAATCACCAGTAATCATCAATGCATCCTGATTGCATGTTTGATCAATTTCAGACTGCAGAAGCTGGTAAAAATCTTCAATTTCTTCATCTTGGCCTTAGTGGTTGGTGCGTACATTTGAATAATAGTAGTATTACCTGGTCTTCCTTGTAGACGTCTGGGTATTATCCTATCACTGCTAGCGTTGTACTTCAGGATAGACCTTGAAATGCTCTTTTTGACGATGAATGCAATGCCATTCCTCTTCAAGTTGTCATTGCCAGCATAGTAGACCGTATGATTGTCCAATTCAGAATGGCCAATACCAGTCCATTTCAGCTCACCAACGCCTAAGATATCGATGTTTATGTGTTCCATTTCATTTTTCACAATTTCCAATTTTTCTAGATTCATACTTCCTACATTTCACATTCCAATTATTAATGGATGTTTGCAGCTGTTTATTCTCATTTTGAGTCTTACCATGTTAGCAAATGAAGATCTTGAAAGCCTGACTCCATCCACGTCACTAAGGTCGTCTCTACTTTGAGGAGGAGTCTCTTCCCCAGTTGTCTTTTGAGTGCCTTCCAACCTAGGGGGCTCATCTTCCAGCACTATATCAGACAATGTTCCGTTTCTATTCATAAGGTTTTCACTGCTTAATGCTTTTCAGAAGTAGACTGCCAGGTCCTTCTTTTTAGTCTGTCTTAGACTGGCAGTTCAGCTGAAACCTGTCCACCATAGGTGACCCTGCTGCTATCTGAATACCAGTGGCATAGCTTCCAGCATTACAGCAATACCCAAGCCCTATAGTACAATAAACAGACACGACTTTTTCATTGCAAACACTTTTTTTCAACAACATAAACGGTGACTATACACACGGAGCTAGCCAGATGGAATACACAGGAATCAAACTGACTACATTTGTGGAAAGAGACAATGGAAAGGCTCAATATCATCAGTCAGAACAAGGCCAGAGGCCGACTGCGGAACAGACCATCAATTGCTCATCTGCAAGTTCAAGTTGAAACTGAAGAAAATTAGAATAAGTCCACAAGACCCAAAGTATGACCTTGAGTATATCCCACCTGAATTTAGAGACCATCTCAAGAACAGATTTGACGTGTTGAACACTAATGACCAAAGACCAGACAAGTTGTTGGATGACATCAAGGACATTATACATAAAGAAAGCAAGAGGTCATTAAAAAGACAAGAAAGAAAGAAAAGACCAGAAGAGATGTCAGATAAGACTCTGAAACTTGCTCTTGAACACTGAGTAGCTAAAGCAAAAGGAAGAAATGATGAAGTAAAAGAACTGAACAGAAGATTTCAAAGGGTAGCTCGAGAAGACCAAAGGGAAAGTATTATAATGACATGTACACAGAGCTGGAGATAGAAAACCAAAGGGGAGGGACATGCTTGGCATTTCTCAAGCTGAAAGAACTGAAGAAAAAGTTCAAGCCTCGAGTTGCAATAGTGAAAGATTCTATGGGGAAAATATTAAAAGACGCAGGAGGCATCAAAAGAAGATGGAAGGAATATACAGAGTCAGCATACCAAAAAGAATTGGTCGACGTTCAGCCATTTCAAGAAGTAGCATATGATCAGAAAGAAGTCCAAGCTGCAATGAAGGCTTTAGCAAAAAACAAGGCTCCAGGAATTGATGGAATAGCGATTGAGATATTTCAACAAATGGATGCAGCACTGGAAGTGCTCAATCGTCTATGCCAAGAAATTTGTAAGACAGCTACCTGGACAACCAGCTGGAAGAGATCCATATTTGTACTCATTCCCAAGAAAGATGATCCAACCAAATGCGGAAATTATCGAACAATATCATTAATATCACACTCAAGTAAAAGTTTGCTGAAGATCATTCAAAAGTGGCTGCAGCGGTTTATCGACAGGGAACTGCCAGAAATTCAGACGGGATTCAGAAGAGGACGTGCAACCAGGGATATCATTGCTGATGTCAGGTGAATCCTGGCTGAAAGCAGAGAATACCAGAAAGATGTTTACCTGATTTTATTGATTATTTATTATGTGTGGATCATAACAAGTTATGTATAACATTGCAAAGAATGGGAATTCCAGAGCACTTAATTGTGCTGATGAGGAACCTGTATATAGATAAAGAAGCAGTTGTTCAGACAGAACAAAGGGATACTGTGTGGTTTAAAGTCAAGAAAGTTGTGTGTCAGGGTTGTATCCTTTCACCATACCTATTGGATCTGTATGCTGAGCAAATAATTCGAGAAGCTGGACTATAAGAAGAACAGGGCATCAGGATTGGAGGAAGACTCATTAACAGCCTGTGTTATGCAGATGACACAACCTTGCTTGCTGAAAGTAAAGAGGACTTGAAGTACTTCCTGATGAGGATCAAAGCCCACAGCCTTCAGTATGGATTACACCTCAACATAGAGAAAACAAAAATCCTCACAACTGGACCAGTAAGCAACTTCATGATATACGGAGAAAAGACTGAAGTTGTCACGGATTTCATTTTACTTGGTTCCACAATCAACACCCATGAAAGCAGCAGTCAGGAAATCAAAAGACGCATCGCATTGGGCAAATCTGCTACAAAAGACCTCTTGAAAGTGTTGAAAAGCAAAGATGTCACCTTGAAGACTAAGGGTGCCAGACCCAAGTCCTGGTATTTTCAATCGCATCATATGCATGCGAAAACTGAACAATGAATAAGGAAGACCGAAGAATTGACACCTTTGAATTGTGGTGCTGGCGAAGAGTACTGAACATACCATGGACTGCCAAAAGAACGAACAGGTCTGTCTTGGACGAAGTACAACCAGAATACTCCTTAGAAGCAAGGATGGCGAGACTAAGTCTTACAGACTTTGGAGATGTTGTCAGGAGTGATCAATCCCTGGAGAAGGACATCATGCTTGGTAAAGTAGAGGGTCAGCGAAAAAGAGGAAGACCCTCAACGAGATGAATTGACACAGTTGCTCCAACAATGCGCTCAAGCATAAAAACGATTGTGAGGATGGCGCAGGACCCGGCAGTGTTTCTTTCTGTTGTACGTAGGGTCGCTATGAGTCGGAACCGACTCCAGGGCCCCTAACAACACGACAACATATACCACATTGAATTAATAGTCAAGTTACAGTAGGAAGTCAACTTCATTTTTAAAAAAAATTACAACACACAAAAGAAGGGCTCTGCAAACAGTCTTGGGAAGAATCAAAGACAAAAAAGAAACGAAGGCGCCCATCGCAATAAAAAGATACCATAAGCACAGGGATCACCTATTAGCTGCTGAAGAAATTGCTTGGGGAGGCGGGGTTGCGCTGCGTGGGGGCGCGGCCAGGGGCACCACTTCCGGGGCGGGGCCTCGGCCGAAACCGCGCGCTCTAGAGCGGCCGGTCTCCATGGCAACCAGCGGGGTCCGCGCTAGGCCTTCCAGTCGCTGCGGCCGCGCCGGCCCCGCCTGCACAAAGGACGCGCGGTGACTCGGCCTCCCAGGCCCCCGACCCGGTGCCGGTCCCGCTTCTGCTGGAGGCCGCGCCGCCGCCCGCCGGTCTTCCCGCCGCCATCGTGCAGGCCGGCTGCCTGATCCGGAAGCAGTTGTGGCCTGCCGCCGCCGCGGTGACCATCTTGGTCGCCGCATCGGGGCATCTTGGTCGCGGCGGACGGAGCCGCGGAGGAAGCCGCGGAGACCCAGGTACGCGACCGCCCCCCTGGCCCCGGGCCCCGTCGCCGTTGTCGCCCCGGCCGCTGCAGGTGCCATCGCCTTTGTTCCCCCCGGCCGGGTCGGGCTGCGGGGGCCCCGGGCTTTGTGTGGCCTGGCCCCCAACACCCCGACCCGCGCCACTCCTCCACGGTCTGCCCGTCGTTCTGCCATCGAGATCTTTTTAAAATTATTCTTTTAATCCTTCAGGGCCCAGCCCAGAGCAAGTCCGCCTCCTGTCCGGCCCGCGTGCCGTGTGAGGGCGCAGGAGAGGCGCCAAGGGGCCTGCCCGCCTGCTCGGACCCGGTCCTTCAGAGCCCTCAGGCTCCGTCTGCCCTGCCTTCTGATTTGGTCTCCTCGGCCACTCTACTCTGAATCCCACCCTTCCCGCGATTTCTTTTTGGTTCATCCCCTATTTTAGGGTTATCTAGATTTTGGGCTACCCATATCTCCATCCCCATATCCCCGCATCCGCCCACATCCGTCTCGGCCTTTGGCTGACCTCTGGCCAACATGGTCCAACCCCAGACATCAAAAGCTGAAACCGCGGCCTCCGCAGCGTCTACCAACGGGCAAATGGAGGATGTCATCGACACCCTGACCTCCCTGCGCCTTACCAACTCCGCGCTGCGGCGGGAGGCCTCCACCCTGCGGGCCGAGAAGGCCAACCTCACCAACATGCTGGAGAGCGTCATGGCAGAGCTGACGCTGCTGCGCACCAGGGCGCGGATTCCGGGCGCTCTGCAGATCACCCCACCCATCTCCGCAATCACCTCAAATGGGACTCGGCCGATGACCACTCCTCCCACCTCTCTACCCGAGCCCTTCTCTGGAGACCCCGGCCAGTTGGCGGGCTTCTTGATGCAGATGGACAGGTTTATGATCTTCCAGGCCTCCCGCTTCCCCGGTGAGGCAGAGCGAGTGGCCTTCCTGGTGTCCCGTCTGACTGGGGACGCCGAGAAGTGGGCCATTCCCCACATGCAGCCGGACAGCCCTTTGCGAAACAACTACCAGGGCTTCCTGGCGGAGTTGCGGAGAACCTACAAGTCTCCCCTGCGGCACGCGCGGCGCGCCCAAAGCCGGAAGACTTCTGCCTCTAATAGGGCTGTGAGGGAGCGGCAGATGCTGTGCCGCCAGCTGGCCGCAGCGGGCACAGGGCCCTGCCCGGTGCATCCCGCCTCCAGCGGGACTAGTCCAGCTCCAGCCCTGCCCACACAAGCACGGAACGTTTAAGAATCCGCCACCAACCTGGTAGCATACGACCTTTGCTGCGTAGATGAAATATCTGCACAACAGCATAGCCCTTGTTTGAAGAACAGCACTTCCTGTCGAGATCTCAGTCCTGTTCCAGAAGGAGACCTTCCTTCCATCACTGTGGGTGCTCTGGTGCCCACCTTGCTGTGCTTCCCCTTGTTATGTGCTGGCTTTGTACCTACAGCTCCATGCATGTTTGCCTCTCTGTTGCTTGCTACCCCAGCTATTCTGATGACGACGGCTCTGCTGCCCAGTCACACCGATGCCACAACACGCTCGCACACCATTTGGGCTGACTCAACCTGGCGTTCACGGAGGCGCCTCCTGCACCCTCTGCAGCCCTGGGCAGCTCCTCACCGGGGTGCCCTGTTCTCACTGAGGACCTCTGGACAGAGCGAAGCCTGTTTGCAAATCTGGTGGCTCGTCGAGTGTACGTGGAGAGGGTGTCTGGCTTCCTGTCCGGGCCCTGCTCCCAGTGGCCATGTGATCCCTCTGCTAGGAGTGGAGTGCTAGCATTTCTGGGGGCAGGCTTTACTTTGCACATGAATACAGAGTGCAGTATGCCCAGTCCCTCCTGGCACCTAGGAAGGCCTAAAAGTGCAGCAAAAGGGAGAATCCCCGGGGAGGCAGCACCTCTGCCAACACTGGGCGGTGTCTGGTCATGTTCTGACAGCTTCAGGACCTTTGAGGATGTGGAACTGGCCTGCCACGTAAGGGCATTGTGGACTTGGGACCACTGGCTGGTTCCATCAGGCTGACCCAGATGGCAGATTCTTGCATGTCCACACCTGAGACTCATGCAGGCTGGGGGGCGGGGGGCATTGGTGACTCACACTTTCCCACCCTGGGGCTCCCATGGGAATTACCACAAGGTGCTCGTTCAGCTCCTCCTCGTGGTCCATGCCACTTGCCAGTGCTGGGCCTTGCCTAGCTTGAGACCCATTCCCGTCTTCATTCAGGCAATCTGCGGCCTTCCCCTCAGCCTCCGCAGCTGCCACAGCATCTCTAGGTCCAGAGGCTCACCAAGCTTGCCCTTCTAGTGCCTGGGCCGCCCTCAGATGGCCCGCCTTTGTATAAGGAAATGTGCTCCCTGGTTTTCGTGACTTGGCACTCAAGGCAGGGAGGCATTGCCTCTGGCAGCCCCAGCCAGGGCCTCAGTGGTATCTGTCAAAGAAGAGCAGTGGACTACCTCGTCCTAATGTGTTGGCACTCTTGTCCTGATTCTGAGAGAGAAAGCTGTCCTTCTTAGTGGTGGACAGCCTTGAGCTTCCTCACAGGGGTGACCAAGAAGCCACATCCTAAAGGAGACTTGGCCAAGCCCTTTGGCCTGTGATGCTCCCACCATATTTCAATGCCAAATGAACTGTGTTCACGTGACCGCCTGGACCGTGGGGGGAAGTGGGTGCCTTACCCTGGGTCCATCTGCCCCTGGTCCAAATGGTCCTGGCTTGACTACAGAGGGACAGCTTCTGCCCCAACCCAAAGACACACGTCTTGAGATACCCTGAGGGTGGGTCCTGACCCACCCTCTCATCCTAAGAGTTTTGATGATGCTGGGAGAAGCGACTGTGTTCCTGAAGCAACCACTGCCTCACACGGTCAAGGGTGCCTGGACCGTGGCCACCTGCTCATTGTAAACTCCGTTAGCCCGATCGCCCTGCTGACCAACCGCCTGAACACAGGCTTCAGGTTCCCCTGACGCCAGCCGAGGCTGTTCAGGGGGACCATGGTGCTCGTTAAGCATGAATGGAGAAAGGATGCACAGTGGCACCCCCACGGTGGGGGGACTGACGGGAGGTGCACAGCTCACTTTCTCTCTGTGCTCAGTTCTCCAGCAGCTGTGCTGGCAGGATGTGTACCTGCCAGGTGGAGGTGCTCTGGGTTGAAGGTCCAGTGACACCTGGGGAAGGGTGGCCAGCAAGACATAAAAGACAACCTGAAGGCTTCCTTGTGGCCCATCCCAGTTAGGGTAGGCGACCCAGTGTGGTCCTCTGCCTTGTCACCCACCCTGGGTCTGCCCAGTGGTGTTTAGAAAGTGCTTGCATGTTTGCATTGGGAGCCAAGGCTGGCCGTCCTCCCTGCCCATGACCATGAGCAGCCCCTTTGCAATGGCGGATAGTGCCAGGCCAGACTCATTGCGTTTGATGGCTCGACTGTGCTCTAGCTCTTGGTGTTCACGTGTGTGAGCTGGGGAGTGGTGTTCTTGTACCTTTGTGACCTTCTTGATGACTTTCTACCACTTTGGGAAATGGAGCAGATGAGAGAGGGTCGGGGGTGCCCTCCACACTGGACTTGTTGGAGGAGCTGAGGAAGCTATTGTGGTTCTAGGGGACGACATTTTAGTCTCCAGCTGAAGAGGATGAGTCCTGAGCTCCAGGAAACCCAAGAGTGGGACCACAGTGATGGGGGGACTCAGGCTGAAGAAGCCAGTGGGGAGGGGAGACGCTTTGTACATATTCTGGGGCTGTAATGTCTCTAAATGTGAGAGAACAGGTATTGATTTATAAAAGAGACAGGCGGTTAGTAGTGTTACACAGTGCATGTGAGGGAAAGTTCTGGGTGTTTTCATGATGTTGACATATTATTTGGGCTGTGTAGATGTCTTTCTGGTCCGCGTGACTCCCCATCTGGTAAGTGAGCTTCGTGGCATCACAGGCCTGATGTGAGACGGGATCTAGAATACAGGGCGACTGGCCCAAGGCATAGTGTGACCTGGGGGGGACTTACAGTCGTGCCCTAAAGTGTGTCATGACTTCTGGGAACAGCACAGACCACCTCCTTGGTCCTGGGAAGTGTGTCGTGTCAATGACGAGGAGTGGAAAAATACCCGCCTTTCCTGATGCACGTGCTCCCGTGTCGGGGGGCAGAGGCACCCCCAGTGACCTCAGGCTTGGCAGTTGGGCCCCTAAGAGAGGGAACAGATGAGGGGGTGTTGGGCAGACACTTAGATTCATGGAGGGAGTAAACCCTCTGACTGTATCAAAGGACACACTGGGGCCACCTCGGGGGGTGGAGTCTTGGTGGGAAGAGGAGGAAGTCCGGAGGTAGCTTCCCTTGCAGAAGCCCGTTGTGTTTTGCACCCAGAGCTGTAAGGGAGGCGTCAGTTTAGAGACTTAAGGATGAAGATGGAAGATGGGTCTATTTGGGGAAGGCGGCGTAGAACAGACTGCTGGGTCGAATGGAAAAAGCTTATCAGTCGGGGGAGGAGGCTGGGGCTTAGGGCAGATCCTGCCGTCCCCTAGTCAGTGTAAATGGAACTGATGTCTCCCATAGAGTCCCCTCGGGATCCTGACACGCTGTGGTGGCGGTGGGCCTGACGCAGGTGTGGCGGGGGAGACAGGAGGCAACCCAGCTCCTCCTGTGAGCATCACCGACACCTGTCCGTGAACAGGTGACAGCGTGCTCGGTCTGTTCACTGTAGACGTCAACCCACACGTTATGGAAGTTTTGGAAACTAAAGTAAAGAGAGAAGGTAAAACGAACACGTTGGTGTCTGTCCTTCCAGGTCCACCCCCGCCCCCCGCCGCTGCCCCGCTCCA